GGACAATCAAGTGTTAAACATTAAGTCCCTACAATGTGCCAGACAAACTGTCATGTAGCCTAGTCTTTTTTACCTAAGTGACTTCAGGTAAACAGGTACTTTTGAGTGTTCTTCTACATTACTAACACTTCCCCTCAAAAATCAGCTCTTAATTAACATCCCATGTCTATATTAGGGTGAACATACTGCTTCTCCCCATTATGTGAGAGGGGGGAAACAATCAAGGCTAGGGAGGTTATCACCCATAGAAAATAACTGCCAAAAATCTTAAGACCTTCCTAGAAAAAAACAAAAAGAAAGAAACATGGGGAACCAGAATACTGCAAAAGGGAGGTGCAGCTTTTTGCAAGTGGAGGTGAGGGAGTACAGAACAGAAAATCAATAATCTGAAAATGCCTGAAGCAAACTTTCTAAATTTTTTTTTATCAAAATCAAAGAAACAGAAATTTCGTTTGGTTTTAAAATGTATTTTAACTAAAATATCTTTTGAGAGAAATCCATATCCCATTGTTCTCATGGCTGACTCCAAGAAAACATGTTGATTCCACAGCCTCTTCCAACATCACATTCAGTTCCACGTGAGCTGCTGCAGGCTCTCCTGGTTGCCCTGGTAACCACTGCAGATGCTCATTATCACAGATGATTGGAGCTTTTACTTTTATATCTGTTGTTGATTCAGGAGCCTATCATGGAAGCCTAACATCTATCACAGTACATATGGAGTCATTATTTGACCACCTTTTTTCTCCACAAAGTCAACCATTTAAAAAACCAACAGTGCTCTGCCTCTTTATGCTGCTGTTTAGAAGGCAGTGGAAGGGAACAGACCTGAGGAGCTGGTTCATTTCCATTAATGCAGTCAGCTGATTTCTGAGGCGTGTAGCTAGATGTAGTCTGGAAAAAGACAGGAAAATGGAAAGCTAAAGAAAACAGGAAAAATATAAAAAAAATTTCTCCATCCTGTTAAAAGCAACAACATCTAAATTCTACAGCATAATACACATATTTAGTAAAAAAAAATTGTTTTAATTTTTATTAATTATAATGCTTTCATGCAAGCCAAAGCTAGTGTGTTAAGTAGTAGAAAACTCAGCTGTTAATATAGATTATATAAAATAAAGGGATTAGTACAGCAAAGTTGACATTCACGTTATCACACAATGCTCATCCTGATCCTTTTGTTAAAGCCGTTACCCCAAAATAAGAACACCAAGTTGCAAAAAAATCATTTTGATAGAATACTATAAATGATAAACACATATGATAGAAAATACTGGTAATGTCAACATTTACCTATCGTAATATATAATCCAAATTACCTTTCCTTGAGCTGTTAAGTCCACACCAAAAAAGAGAGTAAAAAGGAAAAATATTTATACAAATAAATTTGAAACTATCAGTGTACAAGAAACAGAAATTACTAATGGGAAAAAAACTATATGTATGCAAAACATTTCCACTGACTCATAAAAGAAAGCCTTGTCAATATCTAGAAGATTTTACAGTTCTTATGACTGAAATTTTACTACTAAATGATCTGCCTCAAGATCAAATAACACTTTTGCAATTATATTATATTGAAAAATGTCTAAAGAGGTCTTTTTTTTTTTGTAAAGAAATTTAAGTACCTCAAATACTGGGCACTAAGTCTAAATCAAATATAAAACGCTACTGTTACTAAATGAAAGTTTTATTTTTTATACTATGTAACCTTGTTCTCTTATGAAAAAAGAAAATTTTTTTCACTAAACTATATTTTGATTTGTTTATTATATTGCAATTCCAGATATGACACATATACATGTATATATAAATCAAACATAATTTTGCTAAGCTCCATGATCATGAAAACAAAAGCCACATAGCACAGTGGTACTCAGCCTTGGATGTGATAGCTAATGAACCTGAACTTCAATGTTTCCATATTTTACCAAACAATTTTCCAGAGCTCACTTGTGAGCTGCTGATTAGGTGGGAACAACACCAAAAGGGGCTGAGCACCACACAAAGCACATAGGGAATTTCTTAACTCAGACGCCTCCTTCATCTCTCCTCCTTCAGAAAGTGGCTAGTAAAGAAATTTGGAAGTCAGTGTCACATGAATAAACCTTTGTCTTCCTTTGGTCTACGGACTACCCCATTACCCATGAAGAAAAGCCAAACAAAACAGACAACCATATCATATGGGGAGCCCCTACTCCTATATGCTGCAGTATCATTTTTCACACACTAATATGCTATACTATGTATCCCAACAAATTCAAAATGCCTCATAAACCAGCAAATCTCCCACTCACTGGATACTCAGACTCTTAAAAAAAAGTTGGATGGGTAATTTAAACCTCAATAAAAACAAAATTATCTGCCATGTTAAAAAAGGCTTCTTTTAACATGATTAGATGATGTGACTAATATTGGAGGGGGGAAATGATTCATATAAAGAAATAAAGAATTCTTATGTTCAGTGCAAAACATGACATCAGGAGAGTCTATGCAGTATAGCAATAGTAAAATTAGGAGTCAGGGGCCAGGGGCCTCATTCCAATTCTTCCCTCAAACGTGTGTTCAGGCTTTGTTCAGGCCAATTATCTTCTCTGAGACTCAATTTCCTTAGTAAAATTAGACTACTTGATCTCTAAGGATGCTATCATGTGCTTAACTGTGCAATAAATACAAAAAAACCTACAAAAGAATTTCCAACATAGTGCTTTGTTGTGAAAATATGTTTAATAGGAATGTATATGTATAGCCTATATCAGATATGTGCGCCGTCTTGGGGATGGTGGTGGGGAGGAAGGGGGAGAAAAAATTTTTAAACTCAAAAGCATATGGAAGTGATTGTTGATAAATCAAAATGAATTAATTTTTAAAAAGAAGAAAGAAAAAAATAGTGCTTTGTTAACGACATGATGGTACTTCCTATGACACCTGTGCATAAACCAGAAAGACAGCTTGTTCTAGAGGCAAAAGCTGGTCATGAAAACCCTAATCTGAACCCTGGCCCCACTACAGGCTACCTGTCTGACCTTGGGTGAGTCACTCACCTGCAAGATGAGGGACGTGGATCAGATAACTAGACAAGATCTCTTTTAATTACATCATCTTATATGTGAATTTGTTTCCAGCTAAAAAGGAAGAATTCATTCAACTATATATTTTAATCACTATTGTGACTAATTATAAATTTGAGGAAAAAAGTACAAATTCAGTTTCCTCTTCCATCTTTTTTTAAACTGTATAGTAGATGAAAAAGAGTGACTATTTACTAACCCACTACTGGTTTTTCTCATTAAGAATACAATCTGGTTAGCTAAAATGTTCTGCTGGTTAGCATCTATAAATGAGTACAGTGATGATCTTTGTACGCAGACAATCTTACAAACCCAAGTTTATAGAAAAGTTCTTCTCCAAATTACAAATACTTTGCAAGCTCTGCTGGCTAATAAAGACAAAGTTCTATATTTATATATTTTGTCTGTGCTTGAGTTTTTTTAGACTTTACGGGAAGAAATTTTTGGAGGCTTTCCCACTAATTCTGAAAATCAGAAAAGGTAGCTAGACAGTGAGCACAGTAAAATGAGTTGGACCAAACCCATTTTATTTCACATTTGGCTCTGTATGGATTTTCTAATACATTAGATACAGACATAAGCTTAAGCCAAAGGTTCTCCTTTCTGTTCTCTGCGGGAAAGGATTTTCTGGACAAATAAATGACTCGAGCAATATAATGGTGAGGCTGAGCCCCCATAATAAGCAATTCTCAGGCACTTTCCACATCATCTTAGCAATGTATTTTAAAATATGTTCATGACACTGTATTTTAAAATATGTTCATGACACTGTATTTTAAAATATGTTCCACTTTAAAATATGTACCACTGTATTTTAAAATATGTTCATGACAAACTCTAACCTATTCATTACAGTAGTTCAAGACTTCTGTTTAGCAGTTAGTGCTTACTGTCTCTAGATGTGCCGAAAAATAATTGCTGGGGGTGAGGGGGGAAGAGAGGGAAGAAATGTGAGCATGTGTGTCCACTTCTTTAAAATACTTTGTAACACTTCTGTGTTCTTCCTTTTACAAATGATGAACGTTCAATGTTCTTTTGTAACAATGCCCCCTAAGTAAAAAGACCTTTATCAATCAGTCAAGAGAAATCTCACTCTAAGCCTCTTCATCTATAAGAAAATCAGGAAATAATCAGGATGCTGGTCCCATATGTGCTAGGCCAAATCTTGACTAAATAAACTGAAATTGGCAGAAGGACATCCTACGATCAGAAGTACTAGCAACTAACATCAAATCTCCAACTTTAGAACAAGATTCCACGATTCTAAGCTATCAATGTTGTCTGTTTACTCCTCAATGGAGAAGAGCTCAATTCTCTATTTTCCCTTTAAAAGCAAACAAGAAAACAAAGAGAATGCTATTTTCAGTCATTGCTAATCAAACAGAAACATTAAACATCTTCCTTAAATTTTGCTTTTCTGGTAAATTTAAGAACATGCCAGATAATTATGAAAATGTTTAAAAGAAAATCCCTTTGTCCCTACAAAAAAATACAACATGAACTTTAAAATACTAATGAACTACTGCATAGAAAAAATAATAAAAAGAAATTTAAGAATTTTAATGCTATTTGAAACCCAGAAAATGACTCCTCTTCCAAAGAGGTGCGTTGAATTATTCCAATGTTGTCTTGTCTAGCAGTCTGGTGTTATCTAGATATTGAGGAGCGAAGGGCTCTTCCTGCCCAGAGTTCTCCAAGAAAAGCATGGAAGACCACTTGCCCCAGATGTTATGGAAGGTTTGAACTGAATGACTGCTAAAGTCCTTCCCAACTTTCAAATTCAGTGATTTTATGATACATTACCAATTTATACCTAATATTTCACTTTTTCCTTAAAACATAAATCATTTCAGAAAGCATTCTTGAACATTTATATCAAAAACACAGAGATTTCAAGCAGTGCATATTAATTTTAAGTAATGAACTAACATTGTATATGGAAGATGATCTAGAGGTCAAGACAATTTAATTCTAGTCTATAAAATAAAAGCAATGTTATTTTTTTTTAATGTTAAAAGACACCACACAGCCCATGAGCCATAAGCATTCAGCTATTTATTACTCTCTGATCTTTAGTGCATGATTAGCAACCAATAATTGAAGACACCTCAAAGAGGCACTAAATGATAAGCAGCATTCGTTAGGTTTGCCTTCTATTATTACCACACTTTTCTTCTCCCCAAAGGAAGTGCTCAAAGGGGTGGCAGGACTCACCACACAGGCAATCTGTGGTTTGGGTTGTTTGGAGGAATCCAAAGCAAAGATAGTGTACTCAGAGAGAAAAGCAGGCTCTGCTAAAATCCCAGCTAGAAGCTGTTTCATTCAGTGCAATACATAAGAATATGAAAACAAAACACATAATGAAAAAACAAATCATAAAAGCACGATGCACAGATGTTCTCCAATTTTCATTAAGCATAATGTTCTTAATCAATTCAACAAACACTATTGTGCACCCAATGTGTATAGGACTCTGTGTTCTATGAGACCACCAAGATCCTGCTTTCCAAAAAATTGAAATCTAATTGGGGATACACATGTGTACATACAAATATTAATACAAGAGAGTGAGTCAGGGCAGCTACGTGGCACAGTGCTCTGATAGAGCACCAGCCCTGAAGTCAGGAGGACCTGAATTCAAATCCAGCCTCAGACCAACCACTTGTCACTAACTAGCTGTGTGACCCTGGGCAAGTCACTTAACCCCAACTGCCTAAAAAAAAAAGAAAAGAAAAGAAATTTGAGGAGGAGAAAGAAGTAATCTTCAGTCTAGGAAGGCTTCATGAAGGACACAGAACCTAAAGAGAGGCAGAAATTTCAACCCATAGAGATTGGAAAGGGAGCAGGAAAGATTGCTTAAGGATAGCACAAGCAAGGGCACAGAGACAAGAGGAGAAACACAAAGAGGGGCTGGAGAATGGCCCAGTTCAGCCAAAAGGTTTAAGTGTGGCTAGAAGAGCCACACTATGAAAAGCCTTGAATGCCAGCGGGAGTGGCAAGTTTACTCAGGAAGCACTAGAAACCCCCTGAAGGTTTGTGGACAGAGAAGTTATGTGACCAGAGGATTACATCAGAAAGAATACTCTACAACAGGCCTGCACAACCTGCAGCCCACCAAAGGAAAACATCCTCTACATTTTTCACAGGCTGCTCGAAATCCTGCAAGTCACGCAGGCCTGCTCTACGACAATCTGAAGAATAGAATGAAAAAACAGTAAGTTGGAAGCAAGACACCCAGATACCCAGGTATTCCAATAGACTAGCAGAAAAGAAATGGACATTTGAAACAGTAGTTGCAGTGAGAGAGAAGAGAATAGATATGACAAATATTTCATGGTAGAAACAACAAGACTTAGAAACTGGCTGTGTGGATGGAGGGAGAAGTAAGCAATGAGGACTCCAAGTCTTTGTGGCTGGAAAGACAGTGGTGGCACGGAGGGAAACAGAGAATGTGAAGAAGAGGAGGACTGAGAGGGCCAGCTGGAGGAATGATTCAATCAACTTCTCCTCTGGGGCAGCCACTGTGGGAGGCACTGGGGAACAAAGCATCCTTGGCCTCAAGGAACCACTGAAAACCTGACCTACTAGCCGGTCTTCCTGCCTTCACTCTAACCTTCATCCCATATATGACCCTGTCAGAATAATCATTCTTACATAGAAAGATCTAGTCCCTATTCAGCTCAAAAATCTACCATTGCTCCCTACTGCCTCAAGTAAAGTTCAAAGGTCTCCGCCAGCATTCAAGGCCCTCCATAACCTGACACCATTTCCCCTTCCAGACGGGCACTCTATGCTTGAGGCAAGCCTGCCCTCCAAACGCCTCAGGTCCCAGGCATCCTCCAACTCTGCCGGGTTTCATATGCCTGTAATGATGCTCCTTTCCTTTCAAAGGTTATCTCCATCCCTAATCCTCCCCAGGCCCGGGGCCATTAGTAAACTTGATCCCTCAGCCTGTCATAGCACTTTGTTTGTAACTCACTAACACATTCAGCATGTGATGTCATGCATTATGGTTAACTATATTTGGCTCTTACCCCTCTATTACACTGGAAGCCCTGGGAGGACAAGGATTGTGTCTCACTATATTTTGGCTATCCTCTACTGTTTAATACAGTACTTTGCACACGAGGGCTTAATGAATGTTTGCTACATGAATGAATGAGCTAGGAAGAGACAAGGGAAGTGGAGCAAAGATTTTGAGAGTGATCTACAAAGTGAAGATAATGAAAATCACAGGAGGAGATCAGCTTATAAAGGGAGAAAAAGAATCCAGACAGATGCTTGGGAAACATCCACATGTAAGAGGCAGGAGGAGAACGAAGGGACAGGAAAGAGACAAAGCAGGAAAAGTCTAAAAGGGAGAAGAAGCACATGTGCAGGTTCACAAAAGCCAAGGGAAAACAAGGAGGACAGCACCAAGGAGGTGGCAGAAGAAGAGGAAAAACAAACGAGGGGACCAACAGTAGAGTTAGCAAGAGGGAAGCCATCAGCTGGAGTTTCAGGCCAGCAGCAGAGTAAAAAGGCAGTTTCGAAGGGATTAAGAATTGATGACCACCTCTATTTTTTAGATCTCAGGAGCCACAGCAATACTGATACTGAATCAAGATTATTTAATCAGTAATAATGAAGCAATAAGGAAGAGAAGTCAGGGAGGAGTCTGAGATCTCATAGCTTTTCTATGATACAATTTTAAATGGTATATTTGTAAAAATCTATAAAAGCATCAAAGTAATGCACAAGTAGCATATTAAACAGTTTCATGTAAGAACCCATGCCCATGAGCAGCGAGGTGGCAAAGTGGATAGAGCACTGACCTGAGTTCAAATCTGGCCTCAGACACGTAACACTCACTAGCTGTGTGACTCTGGGCAAGTCACTTAACCCCACTGCCTAGCCAAAAAAAAAAAAAAAAAAAAAAAGGAACCCATGCCCATAAAGGTAAATATGCCAGAGGAACACTAAGAAGTGCTGAATTGTTCATTTTTACACATATAGACAGATATGTAGAGAGGAAAAATCCCTGCCCACGCACACAAAATATCTCTGCCCATTCACTTATGTGTATTCATCCACAGTAAGGTATTTTGCCCTAAATACGTTCAAAGAAAGCAGCATTCCCGACCATCTGACTTTTTCTGGCCCGCTATGCCCCACAACGCCACTCCCCTCCCATACTTCTCAAATTTGGGAGTCCCCTCTGCCATCCCTGCAGCTAAAGTTCACCCCATCATTGACTGGCTGGTTCTTCCCAGAGCTTCCATTTTGAAAGGGAGGGACCCCACCCTCATCCATCAGGCCTTCATTCCTCTCAAGGCTAGGTTATATGCCCAACTCTTCAGGAATTTCTCTACCACATGCCCACAGCAAGTGCCTTCAACTCCCCCTCAGCTTTTTCAGTTCCAATGCCAGCTCCCAGAGGGCATAATTTCTTTCAGTTTGGACTTTTATCCTCAGTGCTTCACACAGTGTCCCACGTACAGCAGGTGCTTGATATCAATCGACTTGACATGGCATTATGGATAAAACACTTGGACTGTGATCAGGAAGCCCTGTCGGGGTCTTCCTAGGCTGCATCAGTGCAGGACGCTGGCTAGATGATCAGCTCCTCAGGTTCTTCTCTACAGAGGCACGGTGATAGCTGAACTGGCTGAGGGAGTGCTGACACCGGGGACTTCCCCACACACATCGCTAAAGCCTTCAGGACTCAAGCATTTAAAAAAACCAACAACCACTTCTGAATAATTATGAATGACAATACTCAGGATTCTGCTTGTTACTGCTCCATGTTCTGAATATTCCGATTGCAGTATAGTCTAGTTATCCTGGAGAAAATTCTCTAAGATACTGAAATATTATTATACATGCAAAAAACAGCAACATGAATCTTCTAAAATATTAAACAAGCAGTTCAATTGGGTTTTGGTTTTGTTTTGTTTTTTTTTTTAACAGGGAAGAGGGGCTAGACTTCTAATGTTATGGGTAGCGGAGCTCCGAAATGAGGAAATTCCCTCTCACAATGCAGGCTGCAAGGTCCTCTGCAACTTAAGTAGCTTAGAAAGTTGCCCTATTTAAAAAAATACCAAATAGGGGCCGCTAGGTGTCACAGTGGATAGAATACCAGCCCTGGAGTCAGGAGAACCCGAGTTCAAATCCAGCCTCAGATATATAACACTCACGAGCCGTGTGACTCTGGGCAAGTCATTTAACCCCAATTGCCTCACCAAAAAAATAAATAAATAAAAATAAAAAATTCCAAATAGTAAGCAATTGATCTTGTGATGGAAAACAAGGGATCATGTACGCGCTCACATGCACACGCACACACACACACTCATTTCATTCATAATTTCATCAAATTGTAAATTCTGAAAGTTGTTACCACAGCATTAGGATAAAGCACTTCTGGTAAATCAATAACTCAGGAGGAGTCCAAGAATTTGTTTTAGAGATTCCTAATGTTTAAGCTCGAGGGGTCAGCTCATCCAATCCCTTTCATCTTGTAGCAGAATCCCCAAGAGACAACCTGCTTGGCCAAGGTAACACAAAATGCTTTAGAGCTGGGCCTGTGGCCAGGTCTTCTGATTCAAAGGTCTGTGTTCTTTCCACACTCCCAACTGCCACCTCTGAATTCCAGGCAACAGTGAAGAGTAAGAGGAAACCCAGCCTATTTCAGGGATGTGCCTTTCATGTGTCACCACTAACTGTGGAGGGGGGCAATCCTAGCCTCTCAGAAGAAAACGGGAGAGGAATTTTCAGGCTTCTGGCTCGGGGGTGGGGGTAGAGGACCAGCTGCCAGTCTTCTGCCATCAAACTTCTCTATACTGAGCTAGTCACTAAGCTTAGACTTCATGCTTTTCCAGGTTGGTAGGACTTGCCCAGAGTTTGCGCTCTGATGGCACAGACATTGGAGAATTCAAAACTGTCTCCTCCATTGGATTGTGAGCTCCTTGAAGTCAGGGACTGGTCTTTTGCCTTTCCTTGTATCCTCAACACTTAGCACTATGCCAATGCAGCAAAACTACACAGAGTTTAGCACCAAAAAACATAGAAAATGCCATGACAAATGGTCACAGGCATCACCTATGAAACTAACATTCCTTCAAAACGGCAAAGTCATAGCTAAGAAACCTTTAAAGTCAATCCAGCAAGGGGAAAAACATCAAAAAAGCTCTTTCCAAACATCAAACATTTTCAGTACAGTTCTAAGAATCTCGAAAACACCTGATGTCTGGCTTACAGATACAGTGAACAATCCAGAACATCCAAGTATATTTATCAAGGTCTGAGGATGCCAAGAATTTATATCTCAGGCTCTCTTACATCATAATATAAACTGATCTACTTGGAAGCAATAAAGACAACAGAAATTACTGCACATTGTACATTGCATTTTTAAAAGACATCACAGATGAAGCAACATGACCAGTGCCTTGGGGCTGACAAACATATTCTTAAGCTGCCATCAATTAAACACCTTGGAGGTCACTGATTAATCTGTCATTTGATTCTCCACCCCTCTTCCCTAAATCCACTGCATCATACTTTCTATCAGAAAGCAAAATTAAGAATCTTTGCATATAAATAATGTTCTCCAGGAAACAGGCTCCTAGTCAAGCAACTACTATTGAGGAAAGTAAAAAACATTCCCCCAAAAAAGTCCCTCTCAGGGTAAAAAAAGATAAAGGCAAGAAAGAGCAATGTAATTTATCCTGATAACGCATACAAATTATGTGTCATAAGAAAGGAGTCATCCTTCACATCTGGACCCAGAGATGTGAGGATGCAGAGATGAGGGGCTCTGTTGAGCATGGCTGATGGGTCGGTTAGTTTTGCTGAAATGCTTTTTCCCTTATCTTTCTTATTCTCTGTTACAAGGAATGGCTTTTAGCCTATGAATTAAGTGGAATTTTTGCTACAATCTGCTTTTAGAAGAAAAATGGTAAATGACTGAAATACTGGTATCAGGAATTTAAGAGAAAAAATACAAGGAAGGGCCCAGAAATGAGAGCAGATGTGAGGTACCAATCACTCAGGGAGAGGTCTGTGTGAAAATGGACTTGAGGCACTTACATGACTCCTCTCTCATTCCCAAGGCCCCTCTGCTAAGACTACTCCTCTGCTGACTTGTTTTCCCCTTCAAGGGTTCTACTAGTATTTATTTTATCCTTATCTCTACAAGGGGAAGAGAAGAGGGACACAACACCATCCTTCAAGTCTGACTGACCCTAGGAAATTACCTTGCAGAGAGCCTTCCTCCCAAGGAACTTCCAGGAACTCGTATTCCCTCCCTCTCGTTTGCCTCCCCAATGTACAGTTCTCTGTAATTCACATTCCTGTTTCTGATAACCCCAAAGACAGTAATCATTGAAAAGATTCAGTTTGCTTCATCATAATATATTTACTGAGGCAGAAAATTGAACTTCTCCATTTTACCAAGATTCTCAAGGAGGGCTGGAACAAAGATTTCAGATCAACCTTTGGTTAAAAAGACTAACTTCTCCACAACACTCAGTTCCCCAAGGATCTCAGGTAACGTAAGACTTTACTATCATTACTCTTACTTTTCCTTCTTCCACACTTCTCAAATTCAGCATCAAGTTCTATTAATTCTAGAGAAAAGCAAAAAGGATGATAGATAGCCCAGAATCCATGTTTGCCTTTATTTTTATATATACTTATATATACATATACACATATTGTATACGTATACACATATTACATACATATATTGTGTGCGCATGTGTGTATGCCTGCATGTATGTATATGCGCACACATGTATGTGTATGAGCATATATGCATGCATTCACACATGCCTACATACATACATACTTTCGAGGAGGGACAGGATAAAGAGAGAGAAGGACAAACAGAAGAAAATATGGAGGGAAATACAGAGTCAATGATCATAACTGTGAATGTCTCATTAAACAAGTGAATAGCAGAATGGACTAGAAACCAGAATCCGATTACCCGCCATATACATGAGACACACTTGAAATAGAAAGACACACACAGGGTTAGAATAAAGGTCTGGACCAGAACCTACCACGCTTTTGCTGAAGTAAAAAAAAAGGCAGGCGTAGCAATCACAATCGCAGACAAAGCAAAAGCAAAAACAGTATACTTTACTAAAAGGTACCACAGACAATGAAATAATATCAAAACATTTGATAGCAAGTTTCTCTGATAAAGGCCTCATTTCTCAAATATATAGGGAACTGAGTCAAATTTATAAAAATAAAAGTCATTCCCCAACTGACAAATGGTCAAGGGATATGAACAGGCAGTTTTCAGAAGAAGAAATCAAAGCTATCTACAGTCACATGAAAAAAATGCTCTAAATCACTATTGACTAGAGAAAAGCAAAATAAAACTCTGAGGTACCACCCTCACACCTATCAGAAATGACAAATGCTGGAGGTGACGAGGGAAAACAGGTGTAGTAATGAACTGTTGGTGGAGTAGTGAACTAGACTAACCATTCTAAAGAATAATCTGGAACTATGCCCAAAAAGCTATAAAACTGTGCATACCCTTTGATCTAGCTAGTAAGTCTGTACACCAAAGATGCATTTTCTGACGCTAACTCTCCTCCACAAACTCTAGTGTATAGCTAAGTGGACTCTGTCACACCCCATACACATCCCACACTATCCTACTAAGCATCTTTGCTTAAACCTAACCTGGAATACCTTCTTCTCCAGCTAGGTAATTCCTAAGCCAACCTTTAAAGCCAAAAACCTCCCTCACCCCTATCCAAATAACACGTCACTTAGCACTCTGCTCACACCTCGTGTGCAATTCGATTATTTTGTATCATTGGTGTCTGTGTATGTCATGTCCCCCAAAAGGCTGTAATCTCCAAAAGGGCACAAATTATATTTTTTTCTGAATTCTGTGACTCACCAAGCATTTATTTTGAATTCTGCCCATGGCAGACACTTGATAATGTTTGTAGAACTTGAACTACATTATGTCTATGCATTATGACTGAAAGACAACCAATTTTATGCATCAAATTAATGCATAAATCAATTTCTGCTTTAAAAGAAGCCAATAGTATTTTGAGACTCAAAAAATCAGTATCCCTGACAATACAGGAGTCATATACCAAAAGTAAAAAGCCAGAAAGCAATGGCTACATAGCTTCTCCCTATGAAAATGTACTTTTAATTAAATATAATACTAGAAACTGACTTAACAAATGAAAACCCAGGCCTAGGACTGAAAATTTCATTCAAGTTTAAGAACTAGTTTGTTATCAAAAGTTCCCTAATAGTACAGAAAATGCTCAGCAGGTAGATATGGTGGATTGATGACAGCAGTCTATCTCACAGAACAATGAATTACCCTGTGCAGAAGCTTTCGAACTGGCCCAATGAAGTGCAAAGTCACTGAGCAATGAAAGGAAACCCGTCATGGGGGAAAGGCCAAAGAATAAATGAGCTCCTGGCTTCCCTGGGTCAGTCTGATAGCAAGTCTCAGGTCTTTACAAAGAACTGCCTCAAGGAGGCAAGCTTTCCCACCTACGTGGAAAAGAACAATTTGAGTATGTTTACTTTACAAACACTTAAAGTAGTTCTTACAATTCATTTAAAAAGCAATTATGTAGCAAAGTCTTTAAGCTGTTATGGAAGCTTGGGTAGCAATCATTCTACTTCCTTTTAATTACTTACATCCGTGAATAAACATTAAAATAATAACACAACATTAACCCTGAAAACAAAGTTTAAAAATATATGAATTTACTATATGAGTTAAGAATTCAAAGAAAATGTCAGCATCACTTTTAAAATTACAACCAACTGACAAAATTTAAAGATACAGTAGAATGGATAAGAACAAATGCTAATAGATTTTTATGATTCAGTTTCCTCATCTGTAAAATGGAGAAAATATCAAGTGGTATTCTATACTACATATTATTAAAAAAATAATATATATGAGTGTGTGTATGCATATGCATATGTATGTGTGTGTGTGTGTGAAGCCAGCAGAATGACTGAGACCCTAAGCCTGAAGTTGAGGAAGACAGAGTATGGATTTAATGGCAGGAAGGCCTGGATTTAAATTTTGCCTTGGACACTCAAACACATGACCAGGAGTACTGAACCTCTCTGAGCCCAATGGCTATACCCCCACCTCCCACGAGAACATATGGTAAGTCCTTTGTAAACCTTAAAGACTTCCAGGAACGTCTATGATTAAAAAGCCTAATTAAAATCTACCCTCAATTCTCAGTCTAGCTGCTTGAACTATGGGTGCAGAGAATCAGCATGTCTAATCTAAACTTTCTCATTCCTAAAATGAGTTTTCTTTCCCTCCCTCACAGCTGCTTTAGAAATTAAAGGCACCACATCTGGAGTCAGAGAACCAGCATTCAAATTCCAGCCCTGCCACTTACTACATGGACGACCCTGAGCATGGTACTCTGGCCTCAGCTTCCTCACAAATAATTGAGATAGCTGACCTAAGTAACTTCAAAGTCACGATCAGTTCTAATTCTATGATCTTATGAACTGATATGCAACTTAAACACTTAAGATATATTATTATTCTTCTATATAAGGAAAAATGTTCAAAGAAAGCCAGGTTTCTCAAAACAAGGGTTTATGACGATCATTGTAAAGCCAATGCTCTCTCCATGTTCTAGGCAATGAGCGTCTGCAGAAAAGGTGCTGACTTGCATTGGCAGAAGTATTCTCATGTCACAGTCCCCTAGATAGTGAAATCACTGGCCTAGTCTTCCTATTGGTAGAGATTATGATCTTTGTTACTATTTCCAAAGAACACCCATCAATGAAATTCCACCACCTTCACACCTAACACCTTGGCCACGTGAGTCACAACTGATGTGTGCCTCCTGTGAGAAATGATAAGAAAATCAATTCCACACTGACCTCTCTGTTGGGCGTACCATCATCATGCTGCTCTGTAAGAGAAGATGTCCGGCTCCTGGTCCCTGCTGGGGCAGGTGAACTGGAAGGGACCTATGGAGGAAAATCATAAAAATCAGGAGTGCTGTGACCTCTAGTGCCACATTCTCTCTGTCAGAGGCCACGCTGAATCCTCCCAAACACCACCAAAAAAAAGGAGAGTCCACATGAGGTTGTGGAAAGGGCCACCCTCCTCTCCCCCTCGCACTGGGAGTCAGAGAAGACACGACCCTCAACTGGCCTTGTAAATTTAAACAGATCTTTAAACCTCTCGGGCTCTATGTTTCCTTCATCTGCAAAAGGAAGCAACAGAAACAAATTCTCTCTCGAGTCCCCACCTTTCCTCTCCTCTCACTCTCTGAGGAATCTGGCTTACCATCTCACCATGCTTTACCAACCCTGCTCTCTCCAGTTACCAATAATCTCTAAAGTGCCAAATATGAAGGTCTTTCCTCAATGCTCATCCTTCCTGACCTCTCGGCAGCATTGAACTCTGGACCCCCTTCTCCAGGAAATGTTCTTTATCAGTTTTCCTTTTTTTTTTGGTGACATTACTCTCTCTTGGTTCTCCTACTGTCCGATGGCTCCTCGGTTGCTAGATCTTCATTCACGTCACACCCACTCACATGGAGTGTACCCCAAGGCTCGGTTCTGTACCCTCTTTCCTCTCTTTACCCTCTTACTTGGCATTCTCATCAATTCCCAAGGGTTCAATTATCATCTCTATACTTAGGACACCCAGATCAATATATCCAGCCCTAGTCTGTCTCGAGCTCCAAACCCCCATTAACAATTGCCTTTTGAAGATTTCAAACTGGATGTCCTACAGACATCTCCAATTCAACAAATCCAAAACAGAATCTGTCATCTCCCCCAAACCCACCTCTCCTCTGCTCTGCCCCATTACTAGACAGGGCACCACCAGGTTCCCAACCTTGGCGTCATCCTCAACTTCTCATACTCGCTCGCCCCACGCAGACATTCTAGATGACGACACAGGGCAGCCTACTAAGCCTGGAGTCAGGAAGACCTGAGTTCAAATCCTGCCTCAGACACTTACTAGCTGTGAAACTGTGGGCACCACCACAGAGGTTCTTCCAAACGTTTTCACCCTTCCTCAAACCTCTCATGGTTCCCTTTCTCCCATCATCTCAGCTGAGAAACTTGCTTCATATTTTCCTGAAAAAAAATGAGGTTATTTACCAAAAGAGCTCTCTTCTCCCTCCTCCTCATTTTTCAGAACCAAGATGCCTCTACCACTATCTCCTCACCAAATGAGACGGCCCTTCTCCTTGCCAAGGCAAATCCTTCTACGAGTGTAAGGGAAATTTAGAAAGAAAGCTTCCTTCAAGTTCCAACTAAAATCCCGTCTTCCACTGGAAGACTCTCCCAACCACTCTTCATTCTAGTGCCTTCCCTCTGTTGATTATTTCCTATTTATCCTGCATATAGTTTGCTCTGTACATATTTGTTTCCATGTTGCTTCCCCTACTAGATTGTAAACTCCTTGAGGGCAGGGGCTGTCTTTTACCTCTTTTTGTATCACCAGCATCTAGCATAGTGCTAGGCACATGGTGGACGTAATGCATATAATAGAGGCAGCTAGGTGGCTCAGTGGATAGAGGGCTGGGCCTGAAGTCAGGAAGACCTGAGTTCAAATCCAGCCTCAGACACTAGTTGTACGACCCTGGGCAAGTCATTTAACCACTGTTTACCTTAATCCACTGGAGAAGCAAATGGCAAGGTATCCTTGCCAAGAAAAGTCCATATGAGGTCACAAAGAGTGGAACAGGACTAAATGACCGAAAAGCAATAACTACCACTACATATTTATGGAGGCAGTGGATAAACACCTGGGCCTGGAGTATGGAAGACCCAAGTTCAAATCCTACCTCAGATGCTTACTAGCTTCGTGACCCTGGGCAAGTCACTTCACTTGTCTGCCTTAATCCACTAGAGAAAGAAATCGCAAACCACTCAGGTATTTATTTGGGGGGATAGCTAGGTGGCACAATGGATAGAGTGCTGGACCTAAGTCAGGTAGACCTGAGTTCAAATATGACCTCAGACACTTACTGCATGACCTTGGGCAGGTCACTTAACCCTGTCTGCCTCGGCTTCCTCAACTGTAAAATGAACTGGAGAAGGAAATGGCAAACCACTCCAGAATTTTTGCCAGGAAAATCCCAAATGGAGTCATGAAGAGTCAGGCATGACTGAAACAACTAAACAACCACAGGCACATAGCAGGTGCTTAATAAATGTTAATTGGTTGATGCCATTCCATCTTATCCAACAGACTGCTCCCTCTATCATCCCCACTCTCACTTATCTTCAATCTATCCCTTTCCATTGGCTTCTTCCTTGCTGCCTACAGATGTGCCATATCTCCCCCACCCTCAAAAAAACCTTCACCCGATCCATCTATGCCCATTGGCTGTCATGACCTTCCTCTCCTCTCTTTCGCGGCTGAACTCTTGAAGGCCAACAAGTGGGTACCCCCACTTTCGCCCCTCTTACTCTCTTCTTTCCACAATTTGGCTCAGACCTCTCCAAAGGAACGAATGATCTCCTCACTGTCTTTTCTCAACCCTCGTGCTTCATGACCTCTCTGCGACCTCCAACACTCTCAGTACCTCTTCGATATTCTCTTCTCCCTAGGATTTCATAGCCCTCTTTTCTCCTGCTTCTCCTACTGGTCTGACTGCTCCTTTTCAATCATCATCAATGGACATTCTTCCAGGTCACTGTTAACTTGAGTGAACCCCCAAGGCTCTATCCTGGGCCCTCTTCACTTGGTGATCTCATCAGGTGCCACAGATTCAATTGTCATGTCTATGCTAATTATCCTCAAATCTACTTACGTAGCCCTAACTTCTCTGCTGACCCTCCAGGCTCAAATATGTAACTACCTGTTGGACATTAGACATCTTAAAACTCAACATGTCCAAAACTGAACTCATTATTTCCCCCAAAAAACCTTCCCCTCTTCCAGTCCCCATCACATAAGGGTACTGCCGTTCTCCCTGTCACCCAAGCTCACAATCTAGGAAAAAACGCTCAGCTCTTTGCTTTCTCACCACCAGCCCTGTATGCAATCTACTGCCAAGGCCTATTTGACCTCGATAACATCTCTCATGTGTTCTCCCTTTTCTCTTCTGACACTGACACCGCCCTGCTGGTGCCTGATCTTATCATTACCTTCATGACATCTCAGCCATACATCCCTGTGTCTCCACTCAAACAGCCACAAGCATATTCTGAGTCCTCATCACCTCACACCTGGACACCTGCAGAAGCCTTCTGGCTCTTGAGGTTCACCCTACTACATCCCATCCTCTCCTGGGTTTCTAAAGTGATTTTCCTAAAGCATAAGAGTGACCGTATCATCCTTCTCTACCCAAAGAACTCCTGTGGCTGCCTACCACCTCCAGGAGCCCATCTTAAGTCCTCCATGCACCAAGTAATGCTCTTCAGAACCTCGCTCCTTCCTACCTTTCCAGTCTCATCACACATGTACCCGAGAATCCAGCTACACTGTTCTGCTGCCTATTCCCAAACACTACAGCCCATCTCCTGATTCTGTGCTTTTTCACTAGCTGTCCTCCATGCTTTAAGGTAGCCTCTTATTTTGACGCAGTCTCCCCACATTAGACTGTTAGCACAATGCCTGGCACACTGTAAATGCCTAATAAATGCTTGCTGACTGACTCACTTACCCATGCTAAGAGGCTAGTATTATTTGAGTAGGTCACACCACTTAGACAATGGGACACAGGGGACAAAGATAAGGCCTCTGAGTCAGAAAGACTGAGGCTCAAATCCTGAGTCTGACATACACTAGTTGTGTACCCCAGAACAAGTTACCTCAACCTCTCAGTGGCCCAGATACAGAGAGTTAAGACTATAAGCTAGGGGCAGCTAGGTGGCACAGTGGATAGAGCACCAGCCCTGAAGTCAGAGGGATCTGAGTTCAAATCCAGCCTCTGACTCAGACACTCAGCTGTGTAACCCTGGGCAAATCACTAAATTCCAATTACCCCCCCCCCCAAAAAAACTAAAAGTTGAATAAGAGTTGCAAATGTTCCTTGCTAGGAATTTCCAAACATGGAGTTTTCCATCCCAATAAAATTCCAGGTCTGACAACAACCACCAAAAAATAGACAAAAACATGTACACATCTCCTAGGAGTATAAGGCCTGAGTCTCTACCAACATTGCCCTGATACAAATTAAGTATCCAACTTCTAGGGGACCAACAAAATCATGATATGAACAATCCCCAAAAGAAACTCATAGTAAATAAACGCACAAATAAACAAATGCCATTTAAAACAACTATGAACTACCACCTCACAATCATTCATTAGCAAAGACAAAGTGACTTAGTGGTGTATGTGTTCATAAAAGTAATGGTGTGTGATCACTTTGAAAAGCAACCTGGCTCTAAGCTGGAGCCATTAAACTGCTCAGAACTTCTGACCCAGTAATCCTACTCGAGGGAAATACAGCCCAGAGAAACATTTTATGTTGTAAAGAGGGCCATCTGCACAACCTGATCTTTCCCAACCCAAATGACTCCATGGCTCTGCTGGGCATCTCTCGGGCTTCCCTCATGTTATCTAACTTTTATTTACTTCCCCATGTGTCCTACTTCTCTGCTGATTTCTCATCTTCTTGGGGACAGGTATCATTTCATTTCTTCCCTTTTGTATCCCTCATATTTAACACATATTGTCGTTGACTCAAGAATCTGTAATTTCTTCAGTGAAGGCATTTCTTTCACTCCAGCAGATTAATGCTTTTGATAACCTGATATTCCTGGAAAATCACCATGGACCAAAAATTCTGGCAATTCTTCAGCCAGATTGTTCTTGGACAGTAGCTTGGTCCATCAGGGCCCCAGGCTTTTTTTTTTTTTTTTTAAGGCGACTGGGATTAAGTGACTTGCCCAAGGTCACACAGCTAGTAAGTGTTTGGTCTGAGGTCGAATTTGAACTCAGGTCCTCTTGACTTCAGGGCCGGTGCTCCTAGCTGCCCCGTGGCCCCAGGCTTTTCCAAGGCAGCAAAATCTGTCCGAGCCTGTGCTGCCCTGGCCAGAGTCGCCTCCACACAAACACTAGGAATACTAGTACAACACTAGGAAGCACTTATGGAGAGGGGCCTATAAGTTTTGATGTCTCCCAGGATCCTCAGCAGCACAGCATAACTTGGCACAAAGCTCTGAGTGCTCTCCACTATTATTCTCTAAATAATCAAAAAGCAAATGGTTACATGGTTACCCCCATGAGTGGCCTCAGCCAAACTTCACTGAGAAAGTCCAAGGTCACCCAGACTTTTGTCTTGACTCTGGACTTCAATGACTGGGGGAGATAATGAGGCTGACAACTTTGTACAGCCGTCTCACTTAAACCCAATCAACCTGAAGGTCCAGACATCACCCTAGTGATGTCAGCAGTCATCTTTGAGAATGAAGGACAAACAACAACAATCCCCGGATTTTGGAAACTCTACGTAACAAACCAACTGAGAAAGTTGAGACCCGGATGTGGCAGCCTGAAAACACGTAACTAGCCTTGTTCCCAATTACTCAACTACACGGGCTGTATGCGAGGACAAGAGACAGTCATCTCAGATCTCCCTCCCTCTCCTCAGACTGGGAGCTCCAGAAGGGCAGGAAATCAGTATTGCATCCCCAGAACCGAGCACCCTGCCTGCAACATAGCTGGCACTTAATAAATGGTCCCCGACTAGCCGACTGACCCAGCTTCCTAGCGTGGCATAACGTAGAGAAGGCAGAGTCAGAAAGACCTTTGTACAAATCCTGCTCCAGACGCACACTAGCTGTGTGAACCAAGGTGTACTAGTATTTAACCACCCAGAGGCTCATTAGTCACTTCTGTAAAACAGGGATAAGGGGCAGCCGATGGTGCATAGAGCAGGGGAGTCAGGAGGCCACGAGTTCAAATCCGACCTCAGACACATAACACTCACTAACTGTGTGACTCTGGGTAAGTCCGTTAACCCTGACTGCCTCCAAAAAAAAAAAAAAGGAAAATAGCTACCTCAGAACTGGTGTGAGGATCTAATGAGACAATGTCTATAAAGCACTACGCCCACCCTGAAGCACCAAATAAATATCAGCTATCTATGATTTTAGGAGCAGCTAGGTGACACAGTGGACAGCGTGCCAGGCCTGGAGTCCAGAAGACCTGGGTTCACATCTGGCCTCCGCTGTGGGACCCTGAGAAAATCACTTACCTTGTCTGCCTCACTTTCTCCACCTGTAAAATGAGCTGGAGATGGAAATGGCAAACCACTCCAATGTCTTTGCCAAGAAAACCTCAAATGGGGTCACAAAGAATCAAACACAAGTGAAAACGACTAAAGAGCAATAAATTATGGTTTTTCTACCGGCCCAGTAGATTGCCTGCCGGCCCTGGAGTCAGGAAGACCTGAGTTCAAATCCTGATCGGACACTTCTGAGCGAATCACTTCATCCAAGGAGATAAGAGCACCCGCCTGCCAGTCTCCTAACGAGGGCCAAAGGGCACTCTGCCCAGCCTCAGAGCCGGGTATCTGCCGCCACCACTCTTAAAGTATCAGCTGGAAGTTACAGGCACAAAATTCAAAAGAAAGAAAACTCGGGCGGCGCGGCCCGGCCCGGCCCGGCCCGGCCCGGCCCGGTCCGCCGCGTTGTTGGGAAAGTTCGCTAATGAGGGCGGATGACGTGGGACACCCGCGCTCCCGGAGGCCCAAGTCCGCCCAAGTTTGCTTCTGCTAGTTAAGGACCCGTGACGTCACCGCTACTTTGGTCAACTCCTCGGCTGGACGGGGCAGAGTCGGCCGGACCTCGCCGGGGCCAAAGGGCCCGGCTGAAGCGGGGAGACCCTCGGGCCGAGCTCACGGAGGACCCCGGGGGCGGGGTCCCCGTCTTCAGGCCGAGACTGGGAGGGGGCCAAGTTTGGGAGTCCGGCCCTCCCGCGCACGTGACCGCACCTGCACAGGGCCCGGGGGCTCGAACAGGGCCAGCCCTCGCCCCCGTCTCCAGGGGAGGGTCTGAGGGTCCCCGGGGCAGGGGGGCGGGGCTGTCGTCCCGCCCGCCTTACAGAGGGGGAGACTGAGGCACGCCGCCGGCCTCCGAACCGGCTCTGCCTCTGGGGTCGGAGGTCCTGGCCCAGTCGGGGGCTCCGGTTCCTCCCCGGTCACTCGTGGGTCTCGAGGGTCAATCACTCAGCCCGAGAGCGTGGTTCGCCTGCCCCTCCCCCCAGGCCTCAGTTTCCCCCTGGGGTACCTGGGCCGCCGCCTGCTGCTGCTCCTCGCTGATCTTCTGCTTCAGCTTCTTGAACATGGTGCGGGGTCCTCAGGCCTCAGGCCTCGGGCCTCGGGCCTCGGGCCGGGCCCCGCGGAGGCCTCACGGACGCGGCGGCGGCTCCGCTCCTCTCAGCCTCGGGCCGCGTCCCCCGCAGCCGCGGCCTCTGCTGCTGCTGCTCTCGGCTCCGGCACCGGCTCCGGTTCCGCTCCCCACCCTCCCCTCCTCGCCTCGGCCTGGCCCCCGCGCCCCCATCCATCCAGCCGCGGCGGCGGCGGCGGCGGCAGCTACGGCGACGACGGAGGCCCGGCAGGAGAGCGACGCGCCAAGTGCGCCTGCGCAGCCAACGTGGAGCTCGCGACGGGCCTCTACGGAGGCCGGCGGGGCCCAAGCGCCGGCGCCCGGAGGGCGGGGGAGGAGGAGCGGAGCCTCCAGGTCCGCACGTGCGCAGTCGGCAGCCGCTCCCCCCCCCCCCCCCCCCCCCCCGGGGGGGGGGGGCGCCCGGGGGGGGGGGGGGGGGGGGGGGGGGGGGGGGGCCCCGCCCCCCGGCCCGGGGGGGGGGGGGCCGCCCCCCCCCCCCCCCCCCCCCGCCGAGCCCTGGGAGGAGACCGAGAAGGAGGAGGGAGAGGCTGAGGCCGGGTGCCCTGACTCAGACGGTTACCTTGGTTACGGAGGCCCTGGCCCCCTCCTTTTCTGAGAGTTAGAGAAGGTTGTCCGGGGCCGTCGGTTCGAGCCCCGTCTCCGACTGCGCGCCTTCACCCCTATAAAACGAGGCTAGCAGCCTCCCGCCGCTGCCCCCTGCAGCAGGGTCATTCTCCGAGGGCTGGCCGTACAGCGAGGAAATCCCATAAATGCCCCCCAAAATGACCCTGAGTCCGTAGGTCTGGCTGTGGCCCCAGCTCCAAACGGCCCAACGGTTGTCCCTAATGCCCCTGCAACACCACGTGCCTCTAACCTGCTCTTCGTTCTATGAATCAATAACATTTATTAGGCGCCTACTATGTGCAGAAGACAAAAAAGTCCCTGCCCTCTAACGGGGGAGACAGCTTGCAAACAAATATGTACAAAGCCAGCTATATGCGGTATAAAAAATAGGAAATAATTAAAAAGAGAAAGCGCTGGGATTAAGAGGGGCAGGGGAAGGCTACACTGCACTCGGCAGCCAAACCAGACTCCTGGATGTTCCTAACTGGGCATTCTAATGCCTCAACTCCGACATCCGAGCCTTTGCCCCAGGCTGTACCAGAGGCCTGGAATGCTCCCACTCCTCAACCCCAGCCAGCTCCCTTCTGGATCCCTCAATTGATTGGCACATTTGCTATTGCTGCACCTGTCTCAGCTCTCCTCTTCTGGTTTATTGATAAAACTGATCAAAATTAGGGATTTTCATTTTACAGCTTCACCTGAAATTGAACTAATCCACTCATTTCTGAGCTAATCCCTTGGCCTGCCAGTATGTGTTCACACAAAGGCAAAACCAGACCAGTTGGACTGGTCTCTTAGGGAGCCTCCCGCCCTTTGACACCCAAAGTCCTTAAGAAATTCTCAGCCACCCAGTTGTGACTGGATTTTTCCGGCTGCTTTTACCTAAGAGTGGCCCACAGGAATTGGGGAGAGTCCCCAAAAGCATAGCGAATAGAAATCTGGGGTTTCTACTTCCATCAAGAACCAATCCTCACAAACTAAGCTCGATCCTTTTGTGGCCAGGGAAGACTCCAGGGCCTTCCCTCTCTTCATTATTTCCTATTTATCCTGTATATAGCGTGCTCTGTATATATGTGTTCTCATGTTGTCCCCCCATTAGATTGTGAGCTCCTTGAAGGCAGGTGTCCCCAATGCTTACCACACTACGGGGCACAGAACAGGGGCTTGATAAATGTATCTTGACCTACTGACAGAGGGAGTTGAGCTATTTTGCGTTGAATAGATGGAGAGATAATAAGCTAAGGGCTCACATGGTGAGATGGATTTCCAGTCCAGTGGAAGGGCCACACCCATCAGGGACCAGTTGGACCAGATGGCCTCCAGTCCCTTTCCAAGGCTTAGATTGGGAGCCAGTGGTGCCAGGGCCAATCATGGCTCTCCTTCACTTCTCCAAAAGCCTGCTTGGCTCCATTAGAGACAGAGCCCAGTTCATGGAACTTGATGTGAAGAAAGGAGGAGTCCAAGTTAGGAGAGGCTGAGTGGCAGGTTGGGTGGCGCTTCTCTAAAACCATTAAGTTACTGGATGTTTTCAGATGTGAATCAGTAAGGGGCGCGTCCCTTCAAAGTTCCCTCCACCCATGAAGTCCAAGGTCTGGTAGGGGAAGGGACATTCTTCCTTAGCAGATTTCCTCACTTGGTAGAAGGGCTCCTGTAGGTGAGGCTTGGGTTTGTAAACACTGAAGGGGAGCCATAAATCTTCCCTTCACCTCGTATTTCTGCGGGTGGTTCTCTGGGCCTCACATTTTGGGGGCCCCCAAAGATAACCAAACTCAGGAATCCCTGACAGACCGTGACCCAGAGGGCAGCTGCCAAGGCCGTAAGAGGTCTCGGTATTACACGTCATTGAGCCCTGAGAAAGACCTCCCAAAATGGCAGGGAAAAAGGCTTCGGTATCTGGGCTGATGCTTTTATTTTATTTATTACCTAATTTTATCTCATCTGTTAATCTTTGGGATCCGAGTCATGTGTTTCCCGCAGGTTCTGGCCCACTGGAAGGAACCTGTGGCCTGCAGATGGAAGTATCCGAAACAGAAGGCATTCCACATCCTTTTGTCGCTTATGCCAGATGCCCCTGTCCTTCTCTCCAAGCACCTTCCATCCATCCCCATAATGGCGGAGGGAGGCATTGGGAAGGTGAAGCATTTGCTAGGGTCTTCTGTGCCGCCGTGCTCTTCTTTCTGTTCACCTCTGCCCCTCTCTTGCCTCCTTTAATTCCTCACTACAGATGACCAAAGCTCTGATCTATTTAGAGTCTAAGGATCTGACTCTACCATTTATTTCCTTTAGGCCTCAGTTTCCTTCTCTGTAAAAAGCCAGTTTAGACACGTGATTCCTATGATTCCTCCCAGCCATAGTTCTACAGGAGAATAATCATTCGATCAATAAGTATTTATTAAGGACCTACTTTGTGCCAAGCACCGTGCCAGGTGCTAAGGACACAAAGATAGGAATGAAACAGTCCTGGCTTCAGAGAGCTCACCGAGTACTTGGGAAAGCCAGCAGCTACTCAATAAGTACATAGGGGATCAATGCAATCAATGCTGTTGGGGCTGGAGGATCACTCAGTGTTCAATAAGGCCTCCCTTGCTTAGGAAGGGCCACTTGGGCTGAGCTTTGAAGGCTGAGTTGAGGGGACACTGGACCCCAAGCGAGCATGGAGGCAGTTAGAGCCAAAGAGATAGGAAAGGGAATGTCCAAGGCAGAATAGCCAGGAGGGAGGCTTTCCTGGAGTGTTTGGGGGGAGGGACAAGAGGAATAATCCCCTGGAAAAGGTAGGTTGGTACCTGCTGTGAGATGAGAAACTCAGTGACCAACCAAAGTTTGTTTGGAAGCCATAAACCACAGTCCTTGGGAGGGAACTCTGTGGGCTGGTGGGGAGGTGGAGCAGTCCCCAATAACTCCAACCCCTTTTCAACCGAGCACATGGTATTTGAGAATTACTAGGTCTGACAGAGGAATCCTCCTCTGGCCCCTTGACAATGGGCCTCTCTGAATTTAGGCCAGCTCCTCTGGGAGAATAGACACAGGCAGTCGCCATCACTGGGCCCATCCTTGGAGCCCTGATAGCTTTTGGGTGCTTCCAGAGCTTGGTCTCCTCAGCCATGTAAAAGTAAGAGTAATTTCCACCCCACAATCAGGCAATGGAAGAAGGCTTTAATGGAAGTAAAGTATAAAGGGAAACATGAGCTAGGCCCCTTCTGCTCCTTCTCTTAAATTCACTCTATGTATATTTTTTTATTTATTTTATTTATTATTATATATTTTCTGTATATATGTAGAGGGTGTGGATGAATGAATCAAAAAGCCTTTATTAAGAGGATACAACTAGAAAGTCAGACCTGCCTACTCTCCAGTTCACATCTCTAGGAGGGTGGAGCCCTGGATTAAAGGAGGAGGCCTCTGTGAAGGTGATAAACCTGTTTGCTTTCCCTTTATCCAGGGCCTGGACCCCTCCAGTTGTCTCCATGGGAAGGGACAGGCCCACTGGAAAGGGCATGGGCTGAACTGTTTACTGTCTGGGTACAAGTCCATTCCGTTTTATACTATATACAGCCAGAAGCTATGAACCCTGGGTAATGGGTGGAGAGGAGGGGAATAAAGTCTGGGGAGCTTTAGATCTCATTTGAGATGTTGTTCAGTTGTGTCTGACTCTTTGTGACCCCATGTGGGATTTCCTTGGCAGAGATACTGGAGTGATTTGCCATTTCCTTCTCCAGCTCATTTTACAGATGGAGAAACTGAGGCAGGCAGGGTTAAGTGGCTTGCCCAGGGTCCCACAGCTAGTAGGTGTCTGAGGCCAGATTTGAACTCAGGAAGATGAACCTTCCTGAATGCAGGGGCTGGCAGTCTACACACTATGATACCATTTAACTTCCATCAACTTTAGGTCCCTCATCTGTAAGATGAGGGGGCGGTCCCTTGTGGACCCTAAAGTCCCTTCTCTCTCTAAATCTATGAATCGATAATATTGTCAGGAACACGCAGCTTCCAGCCACGGACTTCAGAGCATTGACGCACGAGTGACGCTTTTCATTACTGCTCACCCCCTCTCTTGGGCATCAGGAGTTAGTGCTGAAAGGGCCTCTGACGTCAAGGTCTAGGAATTGCAGACTTTTCTTGGAGCATGACTCATCCTAGAGCTGAGCTGACTTTCAATCTCTGGCACTGGGGGCTTTTGCTTCACATCTGTCTTTGTCATTTTGTTCCCATACCAAGCAAATGGAAGCAGTGGGGGGACTGGAGGGTCCCTCGGCATCTTCACAGTTTAACCAAAATACTGTTATCTTCCCTCGCTCATAAATCAGATACATGGAGAGTAATCAATGACTTGTCCATATCCTATAAGGGCAGCACCAGAGCTGGGAACTCACCCCAGGCCTCTTAT